AATAAATAAATAAAAAATAAAGGTATTGTGTCCAACTACAACTAAAAAATGTTTTTAAAAATAATAAAACTGTATATGGGTAAATTTACAATCTTTTGTTTTTCCTTTTGAGGTCCTAGGGGCTGAACCCAAGGGTACTTTACCACTGAGCCACATTCCTAGTGCTTTTTTTTTTTGCTTTTTTTCTCTTTGGTACTGGGGATTGAACTTGGGAGCACTACTCAACCATTGAGCCACATCCCCAGCCCTTTTTGTATTTTATTTAGAAACATTATCTCACTGAGTTGCTTAGTGCTTCAATTTTGCTGAAGCAAGCTTTGAACTTGCAATCCTCCTGCCTCAGCTTCCCAAGTTGCTAAGATTATAGGTGTGTGCCACCATTCCTAGCTAAAAGAGTTTCTAAACATTTTTCATTTCCATATGCACTATTCCATTTTACAGAAAGAATTAGTGCAGGACCAGACACCAAGAACTACTGATCTGGTTGTTAGCTGAAAGGCCTGCAGCAATAAAGAGTTGTAACTAAAACTGACTTAGGCCATTCAAGGGTAACTCCACTAAATATTTCATGAAATAAAGAATTTACAAGTATTACTGACAAAAGGATAAGATAGAAACATGGTCTGGGGCTGGGGATGTGGCTCAAACGGCAGCGCGCTTGCCTGGAATGCGTGCTGCCCGGGTTCGATCCTCAGCATCACATACAAACAAAAATGTTGTGACCGCGGAAAACTGAAAAATAAATATTTAAAAAATTCTCTCTCTCTCTCTCTTAAAAAAAAAAGAAAGAAAGAAAGAAACATGGTCTGTGGTTGAGTAAAAACAAAAATAATTACAAGATGAGGCTGTAAATAAGATGCTACCAGAGAACAACTAGCATAGCACCTTTTTAATACACTACTATATAATTAAATTATAGAATCATTATAAATTATTTGAACCAATAAAACACGACGAAGCAATGAAAATTTTAACTGACATGAACTTTTTTTTTTTTTTTTTTACACAATGCCTTTATTTTTATGTGGTGCTGAGGATCGAACCCGGGTCCCGCCCATGCTAGGCGAGCACTCTACCGCTGAGCCATAATCCCAGCCCCTGACATAAACTTTTGTACCTTGTACTTTTTTAATTCATGTTCTGCAAATCAACTATATGTATAGATTTGTTTCAGAGAAAGTCCTAACAACAGATAAACTTCATGTTGTTTCTAACTAAATATAAATCTAGGCTAAGTTCAACCAAAACTGGTTAAGCACTAATGCCTATTATATAATTTAAAATGTAAATTCATTTTATAGCAGATACTAATCACAAAAAGCAATATAGTTTTTCAAAGCTCTGGCAAAACACAGACATGAAGTAAAGACTCTAGTTTTTAAAAGGTCAAAGCAATCTACTAAAGTTAAGTTTTTAAGGAAAAAACAAATGTAAACTTTTTACATGAAGTTATTTGATTTTCAAATCCAGAATCTTATTTTTATTATAGTATTTCTTATTTGCAGGATGAAAACAGATGTTTAACATTTCAAGCAAAACTGAGAAAAAAAACACCAAACTGGATCGTGTTGACTAAAAAGAAACAAACTTGGATTATAAAAAATTTTTCAGCCAAAGTACATGTATGAAGTCTCGAATTGGGTGTCAACATACTTTACATATAAACAGAGATATGAAAAATTTTGATATATATGTGTAATAAGAATTGCAATGCAAAAAAAACCCAACAAAATACATGTATAAAGGCGTGAATTGGCATAAACATACTCTATATACAAAGATATGAAAAACTGTACTCTATATGTGTAATAAGAATTGTAATGCATTCTGCTGTCGAGTATTTAAAAGAATAGATTATGAATCTCATTCTAGGACTGGTGTTGTGGCTGAGTGGTAGAGCACTTGCTTTGCATGGGTGAGGCCCTGGGTTCAATCCTCAGCACTACATAAAAATAAGTAAATAATAAAGATATTATATAAATAAATAAATTTCATTCCATGGAATAGTCACGCTTCTTTAATAATCTGACCATTCCTTTGAGCTCATTCTTTTTTTTTTTTTTTTGGTACCAGGGACTGAACCAGGGATGCTTAAACACTGAGCCACATCTCTATCCCTTTTACCTATTTTATTTAGATACAGGGTCTTGCTGAGTTGCTGAGGCTAGTTTTGAACTCACTATTCTCCTACCTTAGCCTCCAGAGCCACTGGGATTATAGGTGTGTGCTACCATGTCCAGCCTTTCTTTGAGCTCAGATTTTTTTTTTTTTTTTAAGATTTACTATATAATGAAACTAAGGCTTTTAAAACCATAAGCGATTCTAATATATTATTTATATTATTTTCTTTTTTCTTGGTACCAGGGATTAAACACAGTGGTGCTTAACCACTAAGCCACTTCCCCAGCCAGTTTTATTTATTTGTTTGTTTGTTTGTTTATTTTGAAACAGGGTCTCCCTAAGTTGCTCAAGGCCTTGGTAAGTTGCTGAGGCTGGCTTTGAACTTGCGATCCTCCTGCCTCAGCCTCCCAAGCTGCTGAGAAGAGTGTACCACTGTGCCCAGAATAGTATATTATTTTCTTATAAGGAGGTTTTTAAATTGCCAAGTCAAAATGAATTTCCTTCATATTTAACACATGAGATCTAAATCTATGAAGTTTTGTTTGGAATTAAAGAACACTGAGCCAGGTGTAGTGGTGCATACCTATAATCCCAGAGACTCAGCAAGTTGAGGCAGGAGGATGGCAAGTTCAAGGCCATTTAGCAAGGTTCTAAGCAACTTAGCTAGATCCTGTCTCAAAATAAATAGTGCTGGGGATATAGCCTAGAGGTAAAGCACCTCTGGGTTCATTCCTTAGAACAACCACAACAAACAAAACACACAACAACAACAACATACAAAAAAAAAAGAAAAAAACCACAATAAAGAACATTAACTTTAAATTGAAAATTCTAATGCAGGAGGCTGAGGCAGGAAGATCACAAGTTCAAGGCCAGCCTCAGCAACTTAGTGATATACTGTCTCAAAATTAAAAATAAAAAAGGATTGGGGATGTAGCTCAGTGGTATAGTACTCCTGGGTTCAGTATCAATAATTAGTTAGTTAATTAATCAATTGGGGGGAGGTAAAGATACCTATGTGGTCATTCTTTTTTTAAAATTTTATTTATTTTTGGTTGTAGTTGGGTACAATATCTTTATTTATTCATTTTTATGTGGTGCTGAGAATCGAACTCAGGGTCTCACACATGCTAGACAAGTGCTGTACCAGTGAGCCACATCCGTGCCCTACAGTCATTCTAGTTATGTACAATAGATGTAGCACTATTGCTGAATTTGTCCTTTTCAATTTTTGCAGCTTCTCTAGGAAAGTTGAAAAAAGTTTTACAGAGCCTTTGTTGTCCTTCTCTTCATTATAACTACTTTTGATACTTCCTTACTCTTTGCATCTTTTATTTTACTTTAAAATAAAAGAAGGCTAGAGAAGCTAGAGTAGCAATCCTGGAAGGAAAAATAAAGAAGGAACCAAAAACTGGAAGCAAATTACTCTTATTCCATTTCCTTTCTTTGGGAATACAGAACGTCTTGCAGGAAGTCATCTCCTACCGTATCTCCCTAACATATGTTCACTCTCCAAATACGCACCATCAGGTTGCATTTGGCTTTCCTGAAAGTTTATTACAATTTGCTAAGTGTGTATAAATAAAAAAGCAATTGCTACACAAATTAATTCTCAGACTAGTAATACACAAAACTACTATAACCTAATATCCACAAATACTTGCAAAATCATTTGAAACACATTTTTAAAAGAATAGTTTTTAAATACATACATATAAACGGGGATCACGGATCCACAACTACTTTCTTTCCTTTTTTTTTTAATGTGGTACTGGAGATCAAATCCAGGTCCTTACACATGCTAGGCAAGTTCTCTGCCACTGGGCTATATCTCTAACCCACTATAATTCTTTTAACAATTTATGCTCACATGAAATCTTACCCTTCTGGCTTTGTTTCCTAGACATTGCAGTTTCTTTGATTTCAAAAACTACAGATGAAAAGTTTTTTTTTTTTGCCTTTTCCAGGCTCTGAGATTATCTCTGATTTTAGAGTGGGCAACAGAAGACTAGAGTTAGAAGCGATAAACACAAAAATCTTGGTTGTATGAAATTCTGTTCACTAGCTGTTAATCGCCTTTCCTTCAGTTGTATCAACTTCTTGTCAGGAAGTATCATTGCAGATAGTCATGGCTCTTTTTCCAGAGAGATTCTAAAGGGAAAAATACAAAAACACATTTACCATTCGAGTAATGTATATGTGAAATTTCTAAGCAATGTCCACAGGTTTTATTTTTCTCTACTATTTTTTAAGTGCTCTATAAAGAATGTACATGTTGAAAAGCACTATTTTTCTCAAGAAATCAGTCTTTGAATCAGATCATATTAGTTTAGAAAGCATGTTTTATTTTTTTTTAAATTTTTTTAATAGTTGTAGATAGACAGAATGCCTTTATTTTATTTGTTTTATTTTTAATGTGGTGCTAAGGAATGAACCCAGTGCTTTACACATGCTAGGCAAGTGTTCTGCCGCTGAGCTACAGCCCCAGCCCATATTTTCTTTATCTTCTTTTGTATCTGCCTCAAATATTTCATCCTCATCACTACTTCACAAACTAAAATATTACCTTTTATCACTCCCTAAGATTTTACCACCTGATCTTCCTATCCAAATCAAGGGACTTTTCTCTTTCCCTAGAATTTAGCTTCTCAGGTTTCTCAGCTTAAATATAGCTGCAAGAAACTTGGGTGGTGCAAGTTGGGGAAAGTGCAAAACGATTTTAATATGGAAAATCAAAATGTGACTAGTTGGGCTGGGGATGGGCTCAAGCGGTAGTGCGCTCGCCTGTCATGAGTGCGGCCCGGTTGGATTCTTAGCACCACATACAAACAAAGATGTTGTGTCCGCGGAAAACATTAAAAAATTCTCTCTCGGTGCTCATGCTCACTGCAGGGGTCGGAGGTCGGGGCGAGCGTCTTGGGGGCCGAAGAAGGAAGATGGCGGTGGAATCGCGCGTAACCCAGGAGGAAATTAAGAAAGAGCAAGAGAAGCCAATTGACCTCAAGAAGACATGCCCGCTGCTGTTGCGAGTCTTCACCACCAATAACGGCTGCCACCACCAAATGGATGAATTCTCCCGCGGAAACGTACCCTCCAGCAAGCTGCAGATCTATACTTGGATGGATGCAACTTTGAAAGAACTAACTAGTTTAGTAAAAGAAGTCTACCCAGAAGCTAGAAAGAAGGGAACACACTTCAATTTTGCGATTGTTTTTATGGATCTTAAAAGACCTGGCTATCGAGTTAAGGAGATTGGCAGCACCATGTCTGGCAGAAAAGGGACTGACGATTCCATGACCTTGCAGTCGCAGAAGTTCCAGATAGGCGATTATTTGGACATAGCCATTACCCCTCCAAATCGAGCACCGCCTCCTTCAGGGCGTATGAGACCATATTAAATTTTATTTACTATCTCTCAAATTTATTTTTCAGCCAGTTATGTAAAATAAACTTACATACTCTTTCCTCCCCTGATTTTTGCCATTAAGCCTTTAAATTCTAAACAAATGTAATGCATCTATTTAGGAGTTAGATTTGGATATACTATGGGTATGGATATTAATAGAAAGTCTGTATGTTTCACGCCTCTGTAAAATATGAAGAAAAGTACTCTTAGCATTATGTGTACAACTGTTAAATATATATGTACAATCAGTCTGAATGTGAAAGTCAATGGAGGCATGGGAATAGGGTTTTATCTCTTATATGAAGTTTATACCAAGGCAGGCGGCTATTCCCAAAGGTGAAGAATAAAAATACTGAGATTATGAAATTTAGCATGAGTTTGGGCTGTAGACTAGAGTATGCAGTTAGAAAAATGACCTATGACAATGAGGCAGCAGAGGCTTTTTGGAATGGTATGAGCTTCGACAAGTTGAAGGAATTATGTTGGAAGACATGGCCTGCCTTGGTTTGGGTGCTAAAGAATAGTGTTATGGTGAGGATTTATATGCTTTAAAATGGAGGCTAGGACATTTTGAAGGCAGGAGCCAATATCTTTAAGATCTGAAAAACTGAGAAAGGGACAAAAAAAGAACCTCTTACACATCCTGTGCTGGGGACTAGTGTATGATTTGAGAGGCATTATAACACAGTGATTAAGACCAATGTACAAAGCATTTAAATTCTGATTGTACCAGTAGCTCTGCAACCTTAGATGAATTACTTGAATCAAGTGTGTGTGTGTGGGGGGGGTGGCTGGTGGTGGTTTTTAATGGAGACACTAGTCTATAGGGTTATGAAAAGTTAAAAAAAAGACCTAGGATAGTGCTTGGTGGATTAGAAACAATAAATACTGGTTATTAGCCAAAAAAAAATAACTTAGTTAAAACTGGAAAATTATCTTAATGCATTGTTTGATTCTCATTTTGAAGTTTATGAACTAGATAACAATGTGTAGAAACCCTAATTATTTTTAGTCTGACAGTAGAAAATTGAAATCTCCAAATGATAAAAGTGCTAAAAATGTGCAAGTAGTCTCAGTAAAGTGAGTTTTATCTTGTGCATACAAAATAATCATTTAAAATCTGATTCTGTCAAATTGGTGTCCCTGTTACAGTGAGTCCACAATTTCAGATGACTAGATCTTAGTGGTTCTTTGCTGTAGCTTACTCCAAACCCTTGGCTTATATATTCATTCAGACTACATGAACCTGAGTTACTAACCTTTTGGAGAATAGCCATGATTATCTTCCTGTTTGTGAGGCATGAAAGGGGGGATGATTTACTATTTAGATCCAAAGGGTGGGAACCACATTAAGGACCTTCAGAAGCCAATTTTTTCATATGGTGTGATCTCTTATCTTACAAGGGCTCTCCTGTTAATTCATGTTATTTTCTCACTAGTTTTAAAATAAAGTGGTTTAGCTGGTTTGCCCAATTCTATTCTTTGTTGATTCCAACATGAAATTTTTCCTTTAAAGATTTCAGTCTTTTCGGGGCTAGGGATGTATGTGGCTCAGTGGTGGAGCACTTGCCTAGCAAGTGTGAGGCACTGGGTTCAATCCTTAGCATCACATAAAAATAAGTAAATAAAGATATTGTGTCCATCTACAACTAAAAAATATTTTTAAAAATTCAGTTTTCTACCAAAAGCATAAAGTTCAAGAATATGCAGTGAGTTTGTTATTGGCTATACTAAGAATCAAGGCTTAGCCCTTGTTTTCCTTTGACTTTGCTAAAAAGGTATGGTTTTAAGTAGTAACTGAGCTATTTTCTCAGAAATAGAAGTGGTTACCATTACAGCATCTTTCTCAGTTCTTTAGTGTCTTTCCTAACTGCCGCAATTGCTTATAGGTTTTCAGAGTTGAAATTTTTCCTTTAGAACGTGTGAATTACAGTACGCGACATTGCCCATGTCTTTTCAGTGTCTAAAACTGGAATGGTTATGCCCATGCTCATTGACTCAGGTAGTGTTTCAGAGATCAGTTGTGTGTGTGTGCATACATGTGCATGTGAAGGGCAAGTATGAGTGGGGGGAGAAAAAGCGATTAAACTGTTAGGCCACGTTGAAAAAATTTTAAACTCTTGTTATTCTTTAATAAAGAGCCAAACTCAGCCAAAAAAAAAAAAATTCTCTCTCTCTCTTTAAAAAAAAAATATGATTAGTCAATACTGGAGGAAGCTTCTCTAAGTTGTAAAAATATAAAATCTATTTTTCTTTATTACTAAACTTTTTTGGGGGGTGGGGGGTACCCCAACCCTTTATCAAGGGATTGAATTCAGGAGCACTCAACCACTGAGCCACATCCCCAGCCCTCTTTTGTATATATTTTAATATTTTTTAGTATTTATTTTTTAGTTGTAGTTGACATAATACCTTTATTTTACTTATTTATTTTTATGTGGTACTGGGGATCGAACCCAGGGCCTTACACGTGCTAGGTGAGCATTCTTCTGCTGAGCTACAACCCCAGGCCCCCTATTTTGTATTTTATTTAGAGACAGAGTCTCACTGAGTTTTTTAGCTCCTCACTTTTGCTGAGGCTGGCTTTGAACTATCGATCCTCCTGCCTCAGCCTCCCAAGCCACTGGGATTATAGGAATATGCCACCGCACTCAGCTTACTAAACATTTTTAAAATTTTTTAGGTGTAGATGAAAATAATTATACCATTTATTTACTTTTATATGGTGCTGAGGATCGAACCTATTGCCTCACATGTGCTAGGCAAATACTCTACCACTGAGCCACAACTCCAGCCCCCATATTACTAAACATTTTAAAGATCCTTCTCAAAAATTTCTGGGTATAGAAAGAATAATTAGGATCACTGAACTCATATAAACTAGAAAATAAACATTAAATACTGAACAAAAAGAAAGCAAATTGCAAAGTTAAAGAAAAACTGAAAAACACCACTGATTATAGATCTAATAAAAAGGTAGAAATGCTAAGCAACAGATGAAATAGAATGAATAGAATGAAAAAGAGCAGAAAAAAGAGATTAAAACAATTAGAAGATAATGTTAAAGCACCCACAAAAAATGATCCAATATAAGATAACTCAAATCTAATATAAGAACTCAAAAATTATGACTCAATAAAGGTAATGGAAGAGGATTCACAGACAATATGTAGGAAAATTCCTTGAAATAAAAAAGACCTGAATCCGTTTGCTCCCAATCACCTCCAGTTCATCAGAAGAAATGCTGTGTTCTACCTTTAAAACACACCCAGAACTAGATCACTTCTCACCTTCACTGCTACTACCCCTAAGTCACAATCATCACTCACCTGCACTACTGAATCAGAATGATAATAGCCTCCTAACTGGCATCCTGAGTCTTCTGCCACCTTTGGCTTCTATTTCACTATGGTGGCTTTTAAAATTATAAGACAGATTATAAGCAACTCTGCTGCTCAAGGCTCATTTCATTAAAATTAAAAGCCAAAGTCCTTAGAATGGCCTTAATGGTCTTATCAAATGTACCTCTCTGCCTCCATTTTCCCTTACCTTTTTGATCCCCTGTCCTACTACCCTTCCCTGAACTGAGATAATTCACTGAAGCCATACTAATCCCTTTATCATCCCTTTTATACTCTAGATATATTTATACCCTGGGGTCCTTAAAGCTTTCCCTCTTCCAGGAATACTGTTCCCCTAGATATTGACATGGAATATCTTCTTGTCTTCAAACTTTTTTCAAAAATTACTATCTCTATAGTTTTTCACAAGAAACCACTGAATCTGGGATAAAAACAATGGGAGTCTATGGTGTTGTTATCAGAGGATTTTGTAACACACACCCTCGAGTCAGTAGGAAAGGTAGTTTCACCAAGGTGAGGAAAGTCATGAAAACCCCACCAAAAAAAAAAAAAAAAAAAGCCTTCTGGTTTTCACAGTGCTGGGGATGGAACCCAGAACATCAGGTATGCTAAGCAAGCACTAAGCTGCATCCCCAGATCCCCGTTCAAATGATTTTTGACAAAGGCACCAAAAGCATTTCAGTGGGGAAAGAAGTCTTTTCAACTAGATGTCTTAATGAATAAAAATGAACTTAGACCTTTACCTTAATCCATATACAAAATTTGGCTCAAAATGGATCATAAACCCAACTGTAATATTCCTAGAAAATGCACTGGAAAAAAAACAACATCATCAACAACAAACTTCAAAACACAACCATATAATCAATAAAATGAAAAAAAAAATGGAAAAACTGGAGTTGTTAAAAATTTTAAGACTTCTCATACTTTAAAATGTGCATTATCACATATAAGAATTACCTCAAAATTACCTCAATTTGCAAAACAATTTTATATTTATTTATAATATAAAGAATTACCTCAAAATGAAAACAAATGAAAAGACTCTCAAAGAGTTATTTGCATACCCATGTTCATTATACATTAGTCACAATAACCAAATGGTGGAAGCAATCTAAATGTCTACTGACAGATGATGGATAAATAAAATGTGGTACATACACATAATAAAATATTATTCAACTTTTTTTTTTTTTTTTTTTTTTTTTTTGGTACCAGAAGTTGAACCCAGAGGTATTTAACTACTAAGCCACAGTCTCAGTCCTTTTAATTTTGAGACAGGGTCTCACTAAGTTGCTGAGGCTGGCTTTGAACTAGAGACCCTCCTGCCTCAGCCTCCCAAGTTGCTGGGATTACACACACACACACCACCACATCCAGCCATTCAACCTTTTTGGGGAGTACTGGGGACTGAACTCAGAGGCACTTAACCACTGAACCACATCTCCAGCCTTATTTTGTGTTTTATTTAAGACAGGGTCTCACTGAGTTGCTTAGGCCCTTGCTTTTGCTAAGGTTGGCTTTGAACTTGCGATCCTCCTGGCTCAGTATCCTGAGCGTGCACCATGGCACTCAGTCCATTAGCCCTTTAAAGAAAAGAAATTCTGGTCTGGGGCTGTAGCTCAGTGGCAGAGCACTTGCCTAGTGTGTGTGAGGCACTGGGTTCTATCCTTAGCACCATATAAAAAACTAAATAAATAAAGGCATGCTATCCATCTACAACTACTAATTTAA